TTTTTTGGTCTTTTTGAGACAGGATCTCCCTGTAGCCCCAGCTGTCCTGGAACTCACTATGTAGACCAGACTGGCCTTGAACTCACAGAGATCTGCTTGCCACCACGCCTGGCGAGACACAGTCTTATATAGCACAGGCTGGCTTCAAACTCCCTATGTAGCAAATGACCTTGAGCTTCTGACCCTTGTACCACTGCACCTGGTTTATGCAGTGCTGGGAATCTGACTCAGGGTTTTATGCATGCTAGGCAAACAGTCTACCAACTGAGTTACATGCCCACTCCTGAAAAATTTTCATATTTGAGATTTGAACATCTGGGGGTGATACACCTCCTTAGTCTTCCTGCTGCTTCTGTTAGGTCAGTATTGTAATGGACACACAGTGGTGGCATTCAGTGTACTTTGGCCAGTAATGTGCCACTTGGCCTGCAGAGCTTTTTGCCTCTGTGGCCTGGATGGTGAAAGAATGGGTGGACACTGCCCCTGTGGTAGCTACTGGCCACAAACTTGCTCCCTATAGGGCAGCACTGTGACAATCATACTTTTGCTGGTGCTGCAGGGCTTGGATGGTGCCTAAGCCCCAGGTCCTCTCTGTAGTTAATGTTCTTGAACAAGTCATACACCATCTTCCAGCTGATGTAGTTGCTCTATTTGTTACGGTTGGACCATTGTTGCAAGTGGAAATATCCATAAGATGATGGTGAGCATAAAATGGAATTCATGTTGCAAGAATATGAAAAAGTCTGTGGACACTTACCCACATCACACATACCCTCAAAGACTTCTGTAGGGAAATCTCCATCATCCTAGAAAGAAAAAGTTGGGGTTTTTTTTTGAGATAAGGTCTCATGTAACTTGCTATGAAGCAAAGGATGAATTTGAACTTCTGATTCTCCTGCCTCCACTTCCCACATGCTAGAATACAGGCATGCACTACCACCCCTGGTTTACATGGTGCTGGGGATCAAACACAGGGCTTTGTTACTGCTAGGCAGGCCCTCTACCACCTGAGCTACATCCCCAGCCCTGTACCACTTTCTTAAAGAACCCAATGCTTATTTTCCCCCTTGGGAAATTGTGTGTGTGCCTGTGTACGTGCATGTGTGTATGTGTGTGTGTGTTTACGTGTGTGTGTCTTTGAGACAGGATTTTATGTAACCCAAGACAGACCTTGAACATGCTATGCAGCAAAGGATGACCTTGAACTCTGATCCTCTTACCTCCACCTTGAAAATGCTGAGATTAAAAGTCTGAGCCACATGCCTGCTCCCTTGGAGAATTTTAATAAACAATTAAACTATGAAATAGTTATGTGATTATATGTACCAGAGAAAAATGCAAGCTGTTGTAGCTATGTAGGCACAATATAAATTTTTATTAGTCTTTTAGTTGGTAGAATTCATGTAACATTTCCACATATAATATTATATATTATGCTTTGTTCATATTTTCCCCCTGAATAATATAATTTAATGGTATCTAAAGAGTCCTTATAGCTTAAGGGAAAGGCATAAATAAAGTTGTGGTTAGCCAGGCATGGTGGCACATGCCTTTAATCCTAGCACTTGGGAGGCAGAGGCAGGTGGATCTCTGTGAGTTATAGGCCAGCCTGGTCTGCATAGTGTGTTCCAAGACAGCTGGGGCTACAGGGAGAGCCTGTCTCAGAAAGACCAAAAACTAAAAATAATAAATAAATAAATAAATAATAAAGTTATGGTTCCTGGATTTTGTTTTGTTTGTTGATTTGGCTTTTTCAAAGGTCTCAGTGTAGTTCAGTCTGGTCTGGAACTTTCTATTCGGCCCTGGCTGGCCTAGAATTTGCAGTAATCCTGCATCTGACTCCTAGGCATGAATTGCTACACCAGTCTCTTTAAAGTTTGTACTTTGCAGTTTTCTTCCTATTATCTGTAACTTTCTGCCCTTAGATCCTTTTGTTTATACTGGCAGGAAGTTAAAATCTTTGGGTGTTGGGGGCTAGAGAGATGACTCAGCGGTTAAGAGCACTGGCTGCCCTTGCAGAGGACCTGGGTTCAGTTCCTAGCTCCCACATGGTGGCTAACAATCGTTCATTAACTCCAGTTTCAGGGGACTTGATGCCCTTTTCTGGCCTCTGTGGGAATTGCATGCACAGGTACCTTGCATGCAGGCAAAACACACATACACATAAATTAAAAAAGATTTTTTTAATCTGTGGGTATTTGTAAAAGCAGGATGAAAGCTTGCTTTGTACCCGTCAGCTACAGTACAAGGCATCACTCTTCACTTTAGCAACAGATTTGTCAATGGGAAGGCACCTTGGGGGGACAGAGGTTGAAGTACGCAGAAGACAATTTTAAAGATAATTCATAGATCATGTTCCTAATATGCATAAGTGACTTTTTATTGCTGGTAGTAATGAACATTTATAAAATACATAGAAAGACATCTGACACTGTAGAGGGACTCGTGGATTGTGTTTCACTTTTTGATATATAAATTTATAACAAACAATGCAGCTTGTGGCTTGATAAAAATATTTATGCATTTATATTACAATGCCAACGATGTAACCCAGGATTTTATGCATGCTTAGGCAAATACTAACCACTGAGCTATACTCCTAAAAAACTTACGAGATACACCGATATATATATAATGTGTCAGGCGATTACAGTAAATTGTTCTATTTTCTTTTCTTTTCTTCATTTTTGAGACAGGGTCTCACTATACAGCCCTGGCTGGCCTGGAACTCACTTTATAGACCAGGCTAGCCTCAAACTCAAAGGGGTCTACCTGATTCTGCCTCCTGAATGTTGGGATCAAAGGCATCACCACCATGCCTAGCAAAAAATATAATCTTTAATGTTTAAAAAAAAAACCTTACTTTAAAGAAGCCTCAATTGTCAGTGACTTTATGAAGCAGAGTTAGAAATAATTACAAGCTGACGTAATGAAGTCCAACTGTAATTCCAGCACTTTGGAAGTGGAAGCAGGAGGATTAGAGGTTGAAGGCTAGCCTTGGCTACATGAAACCCTGCCAAAAAACCAAAAACAAAAGACAAAAAAGACCTCAGAAAGTAGTATAAAAACAAATTTATTTGTTTAATGTTTGGGTTTTTAAAAACAGGATTTTACTGTGTAACCCAGGCTCACCTAGAAGCAATGTTCCTGCCTCAGGTTCCTGAATGCTGGCATTACAGGTGTGCTCCCTCATACCTAGAATTTTGTTTGTTTAATGTTTGATTTAAAAAAAACCAAAACAAACAGGATTCCACTATGTATGCCAGGCTTGCCTAGAAGTAATTCTCTTGCCTCAGCCTTATGAAAACTGGCATTTTGTGTAATCTGAATAACTTGCTGCTGATTATAATCTCACTAAATGTGTGGAAGTCTTTTAATGTTTTATTGTCATCTTACATTTTGCTAATAATCATTGCTCTTTATAATCACAATGTATGGCTAGAGGATAATCGTGTCTCTATTTTCCTTTTAAAAATGTGGAGGTCTCCCATTGTAGTGGCACATACCTTTAATCCCAGCACTCGGGAGACAGAGGTGGATCTCTGTGAGTTCAAGGCCAGCCTGGTCTACATAGTGAGTTCCAGGACAGCTGGGGCTCCAGGGAGACCCTGTCCAAAAAGACCAAAAAAAAAAAAAAATGTGGCGGTCAAGAGCTGGTTGTGGTGGCACATGCCTTTAATCCCAGCACTGATCTCTACAGTGAGTGAGGTATGAGTTCTAGGCCAGCAAGGGTACAGGGAGACTCTGTCTCAAAAAGTCAAACTCAGACGGTCAGACATGCAGCAACTGCTTCACCTGCTGAGCCAACTTGCTGGTGCTGTATCTATAATTTTCAAAAGTTTTATATTTTGTGATATTATAAGGGCTAGGGATATATTGTGATGGTAGAGTGCTTGCCTAGCAAGTGTAAGGTCCCAGGTTCAAACCACAGTACCACAAAAATGAGCCAAAAAGAAATTATAGTTCTCTTTTTTTGACAGTGTCCTGCCATTTAGCTCAGACTGGCCTTGAACTCATGAGCCTACCTTAGCCTTTGGAGTGCTCGGATTACAGTGTGTACTACCATGCTTGACTATAGAAGTTCCATTTTAATTACTCAGTGCTTTCAGGTTTTGAAATAAATTTTGAAGAAAAAAGAATACAAAAAAAAAAAACAAAAAAATTTGAGCTCAGGTATAATCCAGTGGTAGAGTGCTTGCCCAGCATGCACCAAACCCTGATTTTGATAACCAG